CAAAATAGATTGCCACTTTGTCAAATCAACAAAAAATTAAAAACTTTCCACTGGTAAATCCAAATTTTTCACGAATTCATTGTATATCGGTGACGCCTCGGTAACAAAGAAGTTAGATAAATGAAATAAAAATCATGCCTTGTTAATAGTCGGAACAAATGCACCACAAGGTGTAGAAAAAGAAAAGGCTTTTCTGATGTATGCTGCACGATATAATTTATAATACGTGCTATCATTCATACATACATCCACAGATATTTGCCCTATTCGCTGTCTTATATTTATTTAAACCTTTATATCGACATTTGTCGACGGTCGTCGTGCAAAAAAGAAAGTGCTTTTTTACTCTTTGAAGCGCAGCCTATTCGTGCTGTTTATCGTCCTTACTAAAGACATCGTTACTATTAGATATTCGATCTAGCATTTCTGAATGCCGTAGTATCAATGTGTAGGTTTCGTCTGGGTCGAAGAGTCCTCTATGGATGAGATGATACATCGCAATGTTCAGATAGTGTGTACACAATCAATAGCTACATCCTGAAGGTACACCCTAGAGCAATATACTATGAAGCTTAGACAAGCGACAATACTTGAGACAAACTCATGAATAGATTTCGTAAATTATTCGATGTTATTGTAGGTGGCTACGAGGACGATAGAGGTCATGTAATAAAAGTACTACGCTAACAAATTCACGCAGTGATGATGGCTTCATGTGTGTTCTCCACAATCAGGAAAATGCGTGGTAGTATCGATGTCGGTGCTGACAAATGTATCGTAGAATGTGTGCTGCGAAGACTAAAATGTTGCCAATTTATGAAGTTCAGGTCAAAATGCACATAGGCGTAAAATGCTCGATCTTCTCGGTTCACTTCCAATATGAGATACCAAATCTTCATACGCAACTAGTTACATATTATCAAGCGTCACTTTACCTGCGGGGTCTCGACATACGAGCGATATACTCGAATTCAGATTTCCTGTATCATCCAAAAAAGACGCTAGCGTGTAATCAGCTTTCATTTGGAAAACCGTGAGATCATTAGGAAACGATTGACTTGGCGCCTTCGAAATGTACAGTTATTCTTTTTCATATATTTCAACCCATCACGTTTAGAAGTATAATCAAAAATATCGATTCTTATCCATGTGATCTTTATAATCAGTATATTCGATATTACAGTAAAGTCAGTGGTGCACGTCTTGTATTATTTTTAGCTCATGATGCATTCAGTTTATGCATTAGTTTTGGTATTTTGGGCGATTATCTAATGCAATTTTATTTATCCCAGTAAACATTACGAAAGTAAACATCAACATACGGACACAACTGATTGCTGGTTTAGGTTCGGCAAGTTTGTTGTTGCGTCTAGATCCAACGATATAACTATGAGGTTTGCCTTTCGGGTCCAATTCTGGCTCTCGCCTTATTAATACCAGTTGTAAGTGGGACTGGGTGGGACACGTGGATGTCAACTAAGTGCGGGAAGTACCAGCACTGAACGGAGGTGCATCAGATGTCATACATATAAAATACGAAAATGTTGGCTAGATTTAAAGAGAATTAAGCAGTGATGTGATCAGTTTGCAATTTGACCTTCCTACCTTCTGCACATAGGGTCATGTTTTTAAAGATAAGGTCCTCAAGGGAAACGAGGTAGATGAAAGTTTTACTGCACACGAAAAATGTGGATTTAGGAGTCACAAGGTCCTTAGTTTAATAGCGCGAAGAAAACTGATTTACCGCCATAGGCTGTCGCGATTCTTGCGTCAGGCTAGAGTCGCTCATGATTATGGCCAACTATACCACTATCGTAGTTCAGCTGGCCAAAGTAGAGTACAGGAACGTACCACCGTCGACTGCTCTCACAAGAGCAATAAATTAGTGACATCTTCATGTCGGAGATCAGATTCGAAATAAGAGTATGCATAATTGTCAGCGTATTGGAGACACAAGAAGCAGCGCTGCTACTAAACGTACAAGTAAGCGGTAGTACGAATACGCACTGATGCTACAATTAAGACTGCGTGAGAAGCATGTACCGACTTACCGGGGGGAAGAGAATATGCATTGCGCTACAGATTACCACGTTCTAGACAAGGCCTCTCTACAATCAAAAACGGCATTTTAATCAACGTACAATAAGTTTTTAGGATCCAAGAAAAAGTGTAGCTAAGACAAAAGAGCCTCAACGACTCCCACATAGGTCAAGATAATGTTAAATTTGAATTGGGTCGAAAACGCATCTCGGCGAGACAAAAACATTTTGTCGAAGAAAAATGATATCACAAGACACGTGTAAGGCACAGCTTATCGCAGAAGCCAAATTTAGAACAGAGTCATCATGAGTTGCAGTTGACGTTTGCGCAGATAGAGCATTAAATAGATAAGGCTGGAAGGAATGAAGCTTTACAAAGGGCCAGCTATAGTTTGAGATGCATTGGCCAAGTCACCCAGTACTTATAAGAATTCCCTTAGTCGAGTTTTAAATTCACCTGGAGACTCATTATAGAAAAATAGGATGTTGGAAATGGAATATATGTAAGAGGCCTATTCAACTACAAAAGAACTGAGATACGGACATACCAGTTCGTCGTATGGGAACAGAATGGTCTAAAATTTAGCACTGGTAAGTTTGTGATGTGGAACGGAGAACACCGTTAGGATTGATAATACCTCAAGTCGGTTAAACGTCACACATATTTAGACTTTTATTTTTACCGCATGGACAAGTGTACACATTTTTACACAAGACTCCGGCTGAGGTTTCGGAGTCCAACAATATAACAAAGGTATGACCTCTAAATAAATAATGAAATTACAATAATTGTGTTAACTGGAAAAGAGTTACACGTCGGTCTTATATCTCGATATCAACACTTGGGGTATTTATTATACTTAGGATACTCTCACTTTTGATCCTTAACTGCTCAAATACCTCCTCTCACTATCTTTTAGAATTTTTAATTTGGTGGCGTACTTGTTGCACAATGCCCACTCTGTCTACCATCTGCCACCCATGTTAGGACCAGTCGGTGGCACGGATTTAGTCTCGTATTACTCGGGTCCACCTGCCGAGCCTCTAACCCCTAGACCCCTTTAGTAGGAACGGCGGTGGAAAACTCACTGTACAATTACTATCGGTTGGACCCATTCAATGGGGTCGATATTTTTCGACGAGGTGGACATGAACGAGAAGAACTGCCGATTTAAGTGAAAGATAAAATCTAAAAAGTAAGAGTATGGTGAGCTGCTGAAGATGTGAATGATAAATTTCTTCAGTGGACTGTGAGATGTAGGGTGGTATATAAAACCGACTTTCACGTACGCCATTACAAAGGTGAATCTCGTGCCAAATTGTGGTTTCGTGAGTGCTCACGTGCATGAATTCTATAGAGCCAGAATATACCACGGTTAAATTGGCACGCCAAGAAGTTATACATTTTCGTGGTATGAAATACCACTGAAGCGTTAGCAGCCATGATCCTGAATAGTATAATGTTGTGATGTAGCAGCTAGAAATAACATCGTAACAATACACTTTGGAAGTACCAATACGACAATATCGCCGAGTTATGTCGCTGAGTCGGTCCTTTGCGTTGCAATTTAACGAGGCCCCTTCGTACGTATAGATCCCCAGAGTCGACGTCTGTCTGAGTTTGTCGTCCGGTAAAACAAGAGCTTAATATGTATGCCATTGTGTCTATATGTCAGTCTTGTTTGTCTGTCGCGCATGATTCAATATTTGCAGGTAGCGCGCACGTAATTGACTCAAATGCGGAAAAGAAGAGCGGAGAGGGTCAATGCTTCGTAATCAATCGCAGTGGAAATTTGCACATAATATACCACAACATCGCCAGCACTACACCAGAGTTTAATGCTGTAGCTTCAGCAGCATTGGCGCGATCATTATACGAAATGCGATGAGGTATGCCGCCTGTAAATGCGCCAGGATTCGCAGAGACGCAAATTATGAACGAGTTTTGTCTTAATATTCAACGTCTTGACATTTCGAGCCACAGACGTTGTCATTGACCGCGATATCTGTAAAAGAAAGCCGAGAAGCTGCAATAGCAGATGATCTTTACAGCCTGGACACTCATGTTGCCGATTCGACTATCCCGTGGGACAGCGCAGATTCGAAGGCTCTGTGCGTCGCTTTGACAATCTTACATAGCCAAGGAAGAACTTCCTAGACATAGCAGGTGTATCAAGATCAATGTAAGCGCTCATGGAGGACCCTTGACAAAGTAGACTTGTGGTGGCCGAGATAAGCGAACATGACAAGTCGAAAAACGCATGGAAGACTTGCGACTCGCCTATTGTCACACAATAGTGTAGCGCGAATAGGGCAACATCGACATGCATGACATTAGTTTATTCGAAACAAATAGAAAACGAGAGTGATTGATGATAATGAAGCTCCTATCTGAGTAGCAGAAGCAGCATCTCAGCTCATTTCTCTCACCGATCAGTTCAATTTAATTGACTATCATGGTTGGTTGAAGTCATTCCTATTTTTGTTGTTGTCATTATAGTTGTCCGTGCTGTCGCACAGCCAAATATTGTGTTGCTCGGATAGTTGGTTGTGAACATGTCTTCAACCGGTCGGCGATGTGAACAAGTTGCCCTATCACGGCACTACGGCAACTCTGTGGCTAGCACAACTCACAACGCACAACTGATGGATCAGTCTCAAGCCCCAGCTATTTGAAATAGAAACGTACACTTATCAGACTACATTCAGTTGTCTGGACAACCTTATACTGGACAAGCTTATTTTGTAAAAAAAAGCCAGTTTAATAGATTGCTTTGCCGTCAAACGTTCGGTGCTTCACTGCACGCAGTCCAGTGTTATCTAGATAATAGAGGCTGTGACTGAACCTAGTCAGTACATTACATGCAGTCCAAAATATAACTATGTCACCTCCCTCAACAGCGTCCAAACTCAAGGTGGTATTCGACATCATTAGGGTATACACGATGTACACGATGTACGTTAGTTCAGCTTGCCAACGCCGAAGTTGCCGGTCGTCTCAGCCCACTCCTTGGCCGAGTCTATCGTAGGAGTCGAATCCGGAGAGTAGCCAATGATGTTTAGAGACGCTTTCATTGCCTCAAGGGCGAGAGGTCCATTGCGTGGAATAAAGATGCCGCTCCTTACCAGAACGTTCGCCTTGCACGGTCGACCGAGGTAGCTTGTGCACAAGTCCGCATCGTTCATGCCGTTGTACGCATTCAAAAGCTCCTTTCGTGCCCGGAAGCAGAGGCTAGATCGTGTTGTCGAAATGGTTTCGTTCGGCGAGAACGTATCCGTTGGCGTCGACATCAATAGTGTGACCCGAGTTGTCGCCCCAATAGTTGTTGACGGCGTGCACAACGACACGGTCACCTTCCACGCCACCGAGTTTAGGTGACCGACCCGAGGTCCCATGCACGTAATTCTTGACCATGGTGACAGTCGTTTTTCTTCCGTAAAAAGCAAAGCCCAGTAGTGGTGTCCGTCGCATGAAAACGAAAAGTTTGTGCGTCCGTCGAAGTCCGAGTTGCTGATGTTCATTCCAGCCACGCTAGCGCTGTTCGTCACGACCATTTGGCGGCCGCCGCCCTATACTAAAACGTTGTCGAGCTATACGTTGTTGCCCACCATGGTACCGCATTCGAGCCTTGTATAAAGGTTGCGTCACCATCCCACACCCAATGCGGATTCAGTTCCGTGATGTGGACATTCTGGATAATCGCGTTGTTGCGCAGTGACAGTCCCTTACCGATCAGCACGCCAGTCTTGCCAATGCCACGGATGGTCTTGTTGTCTCGCACGAGCACGCGTCTGATAGCGGCGTTATCATATGTGACCGTCGCATTTGTGCCGTTGGTGCACCCGCCTGTGTTTTCCATGCCACCTTTTTGGAGGATCACATCTTGTGTGACGGGGCAGCCCGTTTCATGGAAATTGTTGTGTAAAGAGATAATGACAATAAAGAATATGAAGTTGAATATTCTTTCAACAATATCACCAATAGTGGTGATATTGATGGGTCGACCGAAGAGTCTGCTCATTGGTTGATATCTTGATGATATCAACCCACCAATCGCCGCAAGACGCGCGCAATGAGTGGTGACGAGACGTCACCATACACTCAGTTAGATAAGTATAAATAAATTAAGTAAAACATAGAGACAGTGATTAAAGTCATAATTATATTAATATAACAGTTCTACTTTTACCTTATCTACGCTTCCTCGTTGGCCTCGTGTACGTCCGTCGGGCGCACCGAATCCCTTGCGTTAAGTTCACGCAAGGGTGTGCCTCGTTACACCTGGTAGCACTTTGTAGTCCTTCCAAGGACCACAAAATCCAACAGGAACATGTTGGATGATGAAGAGACCTTTCACGCCACGCGTAAAGGTTTTACCCATTTAGTGACATCGAATGGAGTGCGGTAGAACGAATGAGTTCTACCGTAGGCGAGTTCGCCATTAGCGCCATGTCGGATTCTCTAGACAGAGACCAACAACATGCCGCTATAGCCAAGTTCATTCAAAATGAACTTGTCGCCGAAAAGGGAGAAAGTAGCCTTGCTTCACCAGCAAGGCTCTCAACTGGCCGAGCAGTTGAGAGAACTCGGTGCTCAACAGACAGAGCTGTTGATACAGCGGCAATTCCATGCTGCTGTAGGCGGGATGGCGCATGCGCGTCGTTCCGAGGTCATGAAAGTTGACATCTCCAAGTACAGTGGAGTCCCGGAAGACTCCCTGTTACTTTGTTTGTCGAACTCGACAGAGCCTTAAGGGCTCGTCGCGTCGAAGATGAGCAAATGAAACTCACATTTACTCAAACCTACTTGGCAGGACGTGCCAAAACTTGATCCCTGGGGCTCAAGAGTAGCGACCCACATGTGTTTAGGTCGCTAGATGACTTCAAGTCCCGGCTCAGACAAACGTTTGAGCCGCCAAGGGCTGAGTTCAGGGCTCGTTCAGAGCTCGTTCAGAGCTCGTTTAGAGCTCCTAAAACTCAAGCAGGGTAAGCGTGGTTTGCACGCTTACGCACAACATATACGACTCCTCGTGAGTAGTATAAATGCTATCCCAGTCCATGAACACACGTTGATTACGGTGTTCATGCAAGGGATCGCTGAAAGGCCCGTCAGGAGCCACCTGTTCCGCCATGAGCTGAATACGCTGCAAGATGCGAATTCAGCCGCGGAATAGGAAGACTTTAGCATGAGACAGGCTCATGCTAGCTCAAACTCTTATCGTCCACCGAGACGACAAGAGATCGGAGGTCCAGAACCAATGGACCTCTGCTATGTTGAGAGCGAGATACCTCGCTCTTCATTCAACAAGCGATTGCAGAGGTGCAATCGCTGTTAGAAGTTAGGGCACTACGCATATGAGTGTAGTGCTCCACGCCCAGTACCAAACAGTACTGAGCGAAATAGAAGACCATTTGCCAAGAAGGGAAATAGGCGTGGGTCCAGCGCTGTTGCGAAGCCGCAACAGCGAAACGGACCATCAAAAAATGGTCGGGGTCAGTAGGGGCAGAGCGCCCTACTGATCCAGCAACCTTAAGAGAATTTGCAAATCTCTTGACGAAAGTTGCTCCAGATACACAACCATTGTGTGTCTCTGACCCTGGTGATGACGTTTTGCTCATCACCTTGAAGTTGGAAGTGACAAATTATTTGTCGCTTCGTGCTCTAGTAGACTGTGGGGCGTCGAACAACTTTGTTCGACGCCAGTCACTAGAGGGTCGTAGGCTCAAGTTCGTTGAGCGTGACATTCCACTTACAAGGATGACGGTGCGCCTTGCAACAGGCGCATCGATAACCGTTGAGAAACGTGTAGTAGGAATCCACTACACGTAAGAGGATGAACAGTACGATGATGACTTCATCGTACTAGATCTGGATGAAAAATTTGATGTCATCCTGAAATTACCTTGTCTCAGAAAGTATGAGCAAGGGTGAGCTGGCAGCATCGATCCGTGAAGATGCCTGCCGCTTGTTCATCGGATGGCCATCTGATGAACATCTTGGAGCGTCCACAAGCGTGTGGATGTTCTGCGAGTAAGTGCGATGGCCTCACTTGCGGTACGGTCGTTAGCACGACTGCACAAGGTCACAGTGTAGCTGATCACTACACTGTGGAGCAAGCTCCCGGCGGCTGTACAGAGGTACAGGCTGCGCTGAAGGTCCACCACTCGAATAAGTCTAGTGGACCGGGACATGGATGCATGCCTAGCGGGCAGCATATTAGAAGAAAGAAACCTGTTGCCCTCAAGGGGCAACATGGAAATCCTAGGTCGACTGGAGAGTCGACCGTAGAGGATCAATGCCTGACTGTGGTTGCACAGCCACAGTCGGAAGACGTCGAGGGAATAAGTACCCACGTACTTGAGGAAGGAATTCCTCAAGATTCACTTGCTGAGGGATTAGGCCCTCAGCAACCTGTGGAAGCAAGTTCCCAGGAAGAAACCGAGACGTTGAACGTCTTGGTCAATGACGGATCAATCGTAGGCGCTTATACGCTTGATCTGATTGTGCCTCCGAAGTTAACTTCGGAGATAACTCAGTTGCCAACGCTAGAACCGAAACGGTTTTTGCGTGATCTGCGTAGTGGCAAATTCAAGCAGATCTGCATACTCGTCACAGAGGATGAGTATGTGGCCGATATTCGGCCGGCAACAGTATTTGCTGAGAACGAACGGGTTCTCAGCAGCTCATCGATGGACGAAAGTGTCCTCGATGAGAACACTCGGATTGAGCGATACACGTCTCAATCCTGGGAGTCACTTCAGGCAAATTATTTGTATAAGGATTTAATCGAATTCAAGGACGTGTTCCCTGAATCCGTACCTTGCGAGTTGCCTAAGGACAAAGGCACTCGACATGAGATCGAGCTCAAACCGGGCTCGAAGTACTGTGTCATGAAGCAGTGGCCACTGCCACGTGAACAAGTACTAGCGATCGACAAGTTCTTTGCCGATCGCTTAGCAGCGGGCCATGTGAGAGAATCAACCACCCCCCACAGCTCTACGACCTTCTGTGTGCAAAAGGCTATAGGGGGATGGCGGATAGTGCACGCGTTAAACAAATTGAATGCTGCAACGGTACCGGCTCAGACACCGATACCGAGGAAGGACGTCATCATAGATGGTATGTCAAAGAGTACGATCTTTTCGTCCATGGATCTGATGGATATATTCTATCAGATCCTGATGCGTGAACGGGACATCCCGTTCACGGCAGTGAGTACCCCCTGCGGGATGCTGTGGGAGTGGCTAGTGATGCCACAGGGGCTGAGTAATGCCCCTGCAACATTCAACAGATGTGTTCCAAATATGTTGAGAACTGTGCGAGACTTCGCACCGAGTTACTTCGACGATGTGTTCGTCCATAGCCGGGATATGGACGGAAAGACGGACGTTGAAGTTCACACAACTCACGTTCGTCAAGTCCGTCAACTTATGCGCAAGCATAAGTTGTACGCAAACCTGAAGAAGTGTATATTCGCGGCTAGCGAAATGCCACTTCTTAGGTGCATCGTGGGTAAACACGGCGTACGCCCTGACCCCGAAAAGATCAAGGCGATCACGGACTGGCCAGTGCCAGTCGATGTCAAAGGACTAAGGAAGTTCGTTGGGCTAGCAGCGCACTTGCACAAGTACTCGAGCAACTACGTCGAGATGACTGTTCATCTTTCTTGCTTGCTCAAGAAAAATGTCAAGTGGTCATGGAACGCTGAGTGCCAGCGTTCCTTTGAAGGTATCAAGCAAAGCTTGATGCAATCGCGATCTTGGCGATTGCAGATCAGGACAGACCATTTCATGTGGTCTGTGACGCCAGCGATTTTGCAATCGGCTGTGCGTTGATGCAGTTCGACGCAGATGGAGCGGAGCGCGTCATCTGTTATCAGTCGCGTCAGATGCAAGCAGCTGAGCACAATTACCCAGTGCATGACAAGGAACTCCTTGCCAAGAATTATGCACTGGCTAAGTTCCGGGTCTATCTATTGGAAGATAGACCGTTTATCGTCTATACGGACCATGCGTCATTACGCACGGCCGAAAACAGCCGACATGTCTCGCAAATAATGGCCAGGTGGCTGTCTTTCTTCGCGGGGTATAACTTCTCCGTGGAGTATAGACCAGGACGACTCAATGTCGTCGCTGATGCGCTTTCGCGCCGGGCCGATTTCGAGCCGGACGCACAATCTAACAGTGAGGATAAGCCCACTGTTGCGACACTGTCAGTCATTGTCCCGTCGTCAAGTTTACTTGACGACGTAGAAAGGCATCCGCAGTAGATAAGGATCTTCTGCGATTAATGGATCATCTGGTGGATCCATCCAGTAAATCATTGAAGGATTTACCGGCTTTGTACCGATCCTCCTCGGATCGGTATAGTACACGCAACGGATTGCTGTACTATACAGCTGTTGCCGACGACACGCCTCGTGTCGTCGTACCCGCTCATGATGATTTTCGATTACGCATCATGTATGAGTGTCACGATGCCCCAACAAGCGGCCATCGTGGTAGAGAAAAGACTCATCTCACGGTAAGTCGTGACTTTTACTGGCCACGCCAGT